TGTAGGGAGACTCTTATATCTGTCCATGACCAGACTTGGCATTATTTATGTTGTGAGTGTCCTTAGTCAGTTCATGTATAATCCAAAGACTTCCCACTTTGAAGTTGTAGAAAGGATCCTTAGATGCCTCAAGAATAGGGATGTCAATGGGTCGGGTTTGACATGGGTTTGCCTCAACCCTAATCCCCTCCAACACCCTAACCTAACCTAACCCAACTTAAAAATACAAGATTCCCAAACCCGACCCAACCCTAAAGGGTTTAATCTGATATCAACCCGACTTGACCCGTAGCATTTCAAATGTATTTTTAACAGATTTTGAAGACATAAAATACATAAGTTTAAGTTAGGAAATTGTTTTATAGATTCTAAAGAATTACTTTTTCCATTTAAAAAGAAGAAGAGACCAAAATCAACATGTAAATAAATCATAAATTTTAAGTCTGTAAAGTTAGAAGTTAAAAAAATTGCAAGAATACTTGGTATATATGTAGGGTATCATGACCTAGTGGGGCGGGTCAGACTAAACATGAACCTAACTTTGGTCAAAAAATCAAAACCCTAATCGAATCCATTGACATCCCTACTTAAGAAGTTCCTAGGGATTGGTTTGTTACTCTAGAAATATAGGCATTTAAAAGTTGAAGTGCATACAAATGCTGACTGGGCAGGGGAAATTGATGATAGAAAGTATACTAGTGGGTATTATACTTTTGTGGGAGGAAACTTAGTCACTTACAGAAGTAAGAAACAAAGTGTGGTGGTTATATCCAATGTTGAAGTAGTAGAGCTATGTCTCATGGAGTTGCTGAAATCAAGGATTAAAATAATGAAAAAACACTCCTGATGTGAGGTGTATCTGTATCCATGGCCACAGATACGGGATATGCCATGACTGCATACGTATCTAATGAGTCGTGTGTATCGGCATGATATGCCTCCATATCGGGTCGTATCACACTGTATCGTGGATACAGTTTGATACACATTTTTATAGAGGCATATCCACGCCTAGTTTTCCAAAAAATAATAAAAACTAAAAATTATAAAAGTAATATATTTCATCTACCTTAGATGATTTATATATTTTATTTTACACATAATTATATGTTAAAAATGAAAACATAATTATTATTTAAAAAATAGAATCATTATATAAAAATACTAAATAAATAAAATTTCCCAACAAAATTAATGGAAATTAGAAAATTGTAATTATAAAATCTGAAATGAATAATTTAAGATTTAATTTCCCAAAAAAAGTTAATAAAAATAAAAAATTATAAATAATTTCTTTTATATACCTTAAATAACTTATATGTTTTATTTTATAATAATACATAAATAAAACATTATATGTTAAAAATGAAAACATATTTATCATTTAAAAAATGCGTTGTTATTTATATAAAAATACTGAATTAATAAATATTCCCAAAAGTTAATAAAAATGGAAAATTATAATTATAAAAATTGAAAGTCATAATTATTGTATGATGTTTGAGTGTAGTAGAGTCTCGATATTTTTTATTGTAATGTTTCTCTTTATATAACCTATTGAAGTATGCAATTTTCATGTGTTTATACCTTATTCATAAATAATTCAGCTTTTGGTTTAGTATTATTAATGCATTTATGTGATTTTTATGTATTTCCCTAGTGTATCCAAGCGTTTTTATATCTTTCATTCCTATCCATGTGTTTCCAAAGCTTATTTGTATTCGTATCTATATTTGACTTGTTTGATATGATACTCGATACTTACAATTTAATCATTGGATGAAATCATGTGGATAAAGAACATGTTAGGTGAATTGGGCTTCGCAGTTAACAACCCTATGTCACTCTATTGTAACAACAAAGCTACTATCAACATTGCCGCCACCCCTGTCCTCCATGGTAAGACAAAACAAATTGAAGTGAACAAGAATTTTATTTGGGAAAAACTTGTGAGTGGAGATGTATGCACTCCCTATGTCAACTCAGAAGAACAATTTGCAGATATTTTCACCAAGGGTCTCCATCAATCAGAGTACAATGATTTGTGTGATGAGTTGAGCATGATTGATATCTTTGTCCCAACTTGAGGAGTGTTAGAATAACTAATATTTTATATTGTTTTATATTCAATAAGTGCCACAAGGGCATAAGAGTCTTTATCTTCTTTTTTAAGTGTCACCCTATATAATAAGGAATTCTGGTGCCGCCATAACTAATTCACTCTTCCATCTTCTTCTCTTCTCTTTTCCATTCTCTCTTCTCTCTCTCTCTCTCTCTCTCTCTCCTCTTCTTCTTCTTCCATATTTCTTCTATTTTTTTCCTATCATTAGGTCTTACTTTGAGGCATAATGTTCTCTAAGAAGCACTCGATATGAGCTCATTAAATGTTCAAGTAACGCTCATCCACATGGCCCTAGCCTTAATGAAGACAACAATTAACTCAACCTGATGTGTAGGGTCATTAGAAAACACCTTTAAAATGCCACCATTAATGTGGTATCACCTATAAATTGAGCTAGGAGGCCATAGGTGTCTTTGGTACACACTCTACTACTCTTGCTATTGCCCTTGCTCTCACCTCAAGACCTTGACTTTGTCTTCACCTTGGCTAACTTAACCATTGGAGTTACTGTCACTAGGACAGACCTTGAGGCCTCTGATGTCTTTTTGTGTTCACAAGTGGGATCATTAGCCAATTCACCTTAGAAGCAAGGATTCAAATATCAGCATGATACGCCCAATACGCGGCGTATCGTATCGATATCGGACTACACCGAGATGGAATACGCTATGACTGCAGGTGTATCTTGCTAGTTGTGTGTATTGGCCCGATACACCACTGTATTGGTGCATAACGTTTAGTATCGACCAATATACACTAATACAGAAGTGAAACCCTAGTTTCAACAAATGAGCGTCTCACTATAAAAAGGAGTGGCATGATTTGAACATAGGTTGGTCATTGCCCAAGCGCACAAGTTCCTTTAACCACAAAACACTAATTATTTCATGTCAATAAGTGTAATAAATTAACTTTTATTAAAATTAGTGTCTACATGCAAACAAAAAAAAAGCATACATTTATATTCAACAACTCCAACAACAAATTAAAAAGAACAATATTCAAAATTAGTATTTTATAAACCAATGAAATAAATAATTTATAAAATTCACACACACACACACATATGTATATATATATATATATATCAAAAACATGAATTCTAATTTCAAAAATGTATACAAATAAAATATTATTAACAAAATAATTATTTTTTGAGAGTAATAATATAATTATTATTTTAATACTTAAAATTGATAAATTTGCACATGATATATTTCTTCAAATTTTTATAAATTATTAATTAATATTTTAATTAGCATTAAATAACAATGTATTTATTTTTTACAAAAATAAAAATATTGTCTATAAAGTATTTGAAAATATAAAATAAATTGAATCTATCAAATTTATTTTTCTACAATTTATATAAAAAATAATTTTTTAATTTAGAAATTATATAAAAATAAAATATTAATAATGGAATAATTGTTTTTGTAATTAAAATTTATTAACTTTCATAAGATATGCATCTTCAAAATTTTATTAGATTTGATATATTTTAAGTTAAGATTATATATTTTTATAAATTATTAATTGATATTTTATAATAAGATATTTATTCTTTACAAAAGTAAAAATATTGTTTACTAAACATTTGAGAATTAATTTTTCGTTGAATTTTTGTTAATGTAAAAAAATAAAAATAGTAAAATAGAAAAAAATTGATACAATAGTTGCATATGCTTTATGCCTTACCCTTTAATAGATAATAAAATAATATTTTTTGCAAGTGCTAATTTATAAAAATCTATATAATATGTGCCTTAGACTCTTGATTGATGCATTATTAATAAAATTGTATAATATTTATGTGTCCAGCTATATTAATTATAATATATTTCTTCATATATATTATTTAAAATATACAATTCCTATGTATTTATACATTATTTATAGTTATTTTGAAATTAAACTTGATGTTATTAATACATTTATGAAATTTGTTTGCATTTCCTTAACGTCTCCAAGCGTTTCCATATTTTTCATGCGTATCCATGTGTTTCCCAAGCATATCTATATCTAAGTTGTCCGATATGATACCCAATACCAATACTTTGAAATTTCCAAATTACCCTCATTACCATCTTTGATAACATCACATTTAAATACCTCCATTGGCCAATAGCTTTTTCCAATAATAGAGATTAAAATTATCAAAATGCCCTTATTAAGGTTAAGGCATTATGGGAAGAGAGTAAATGGGTGATACATTCAAGTCATTAGTGCATCGAAATGTTGTTCATTTTAGTAATATTTAGTAATATCTCCCTTGCCTGGCTTCAACTTCGACGTATTTTATGAAATATACGTTTCAACAGAATTGGTAGAAGGTATATCTGACATAAATTCATTTTCAAAAAAAAAATCTGATATAAATTAGTCCATTATGTCAGTATTTCTGAAAAAACTACTAATTTTTCCGAAAAATCCATAGAAAAATCTATGATGCTGAAGAAGATGTTTAAAGAAGGGCTTTGATCAAACCATTGCAAAGCCGAACTAGACCAAACCACCAATTACGATTTGGTTTGGTGCAGGGTCTTTTTGATCTTTTTCCTTTTCTTGTTTATGGTTCTTATTTCTGTTGTAAGTCACATAATCAGGGGCATTTATGTAATTTGTTCTTAGCACTATTCCTTTGGTATTCTTCTTCTTCTCTACTTCTCTGTTGCTACTTTGTATCCTGGGATTACACTAGGATTTTTTGTTTATTTTATAAAATACAGGTATGATCACAGGTGTGATTTGACGGTCAAAAGCACATATGAACACCCCTAGTCCACACTTCAGATAAACCATTGAAGTATATATTTGTTGTATGTATGCAACTTATTTATAGATATCTAGTGTTATTACTATATTTTTTGAGTACATATCTTAATTTTTTTTCACCATATCTATTCATATCTAGAATGTATCATAATACATTCTTGAAATTGCCTTGCGATGGTTTGCTCTCCCCCAATGAACTACAAAAAAGGGGAAGAACGCTTGATGGATGTTCTTCGTGGTACCTTACACTGTTAAGGACAACATGGATCTGTACTATCCTAGTATTTTATTACAAATATTATTGCTACTATTACACATGAATGTGATTTAACCAAGTGCCACCTTCTAATGATCTTTCATGTTTAGACACCATCTGACTGCAAAAATACTTCAAGAAAGGTTTCCATCAAGCATGGTGGTTGGATTTGATGTTGATGCAATATAGTTTGTTGAAGATATATTACTGATGGTATCATTGAATTGCCAATATACCAAATAACCGGGCCTAGTAGTAACTGTGCTCACTTCAATATCTCCTTCTAGCATGGCCACAACACTTGACATGGATGGCCGCAGCACTGGTGAAGCCTGAGTGCACAGTAGAGCTACTTCCATAACTCGACGAGCTTCGACTTCATCAAACTCATTCAGTGTCGGATCCATGAGTTCCAATTCATGGTGATCGTCACGTAAATTCCATACCTAAAAGGTATAATAAAATGGCGATATAGAGGAGGTTAAGTCCACATAAATGTTTGTAGTATAAAAGAACCATAAATAACTTTCATACCCATTGAAGAAGATACATTTTCTCTGAATCCAAGTTTGCGTCAGAGTTTGGTCGCCCACTCAGGATCTCTAGAGCAACAACTCCAAATCCGAACACATCAGCCTTTTCTGTTAGATGGCCACGCATAGCATATTCTGGCGCAAGATAGCCACTACAAGGACATCAAAACTAGAGATGAACACAGATAATTTAATATAAATGAGTACAAGTGAACATGAGGAGCGAGCAATTAGAATAGAATAAGTGAGGCAGGTGAACGGTTGGAGATTGCGTATTACATTGTCCCCGCAACTCGGGTGCTGATATGGGTCTTCTTGTCATCACACAACTTGGCCAAACCAAAATCAGAAATTTTTGGATCAAAATTAGCATCAAGCAGAATATTGCTAGACTTCACATCTCTGTGCACAATCCTAAGCCTTGACTCCTCATGAAGGTAAGCTAGACCACTTGCTGTCCCCAGCAATATTTTATAGCGGGTCCGCCAATCAAGATGTAGACCACTTTTCCCTGCAAAGAAGTGGTAAATTTGGATAAAGTTAACTTTTCAGAGCATCTATAGTTGAAGTGTCTTATAGAGCTGCAAGGAGAAATTATGACTACTGCAACAAGTTCCTACCAAAGAGTGCCTGATCAAGGCTCTTGTTTTCAAGGTACTCATAAACTAGCAGCCGTTTCTTGCCATCAACACAACATCCATTCAATTTCACAAGGTTGCGTTGCTGCACTGCAGATATTGTGGCAATCTCTGTTAAAAACTGTCTCTTTCCTTGGTTGGATCCTAATGAGAGTTGCTTTATAGCCACGATCCTCCCATCAGGAAGCGTTCCCTTTAAAACAACAGATAACCAGCAGGAAGTCAATGGGCGCCGTCTTTATATATAAATCTACAGATATGTTAATCTCATTTGGTTGAGAAAAAGTATGCATAAGGTTCACAAAAAAAGAGAGAAAAATAACTATGGGTAGCGTAAGTAACAAAAAACACCAAGACAAGGGTTGTTATCCAATGTTGGTTCCAGATATAGGCCATTAGGCATTAGGCATTATCTACACAAAGCGACTGTTCTCTAACTCAAACCAACATTCTCACACTGTCAGCCTGAGATTTTACTATTGCACCAAGCAATAGCCCCTAGCTATATCACAAATATGCCATACATATATTGTGTGCATCAATGTTTTAAGGCTCAGACCATTCATCAAACTGTGCACACAAGCATATTTGTCGGCATTAGGGGTGCAAATGGATCAGATCCGATCCTATTTTGTCAAATTCGGATCTCCCCAGTTTGGATCTTTGGGTCAGATAATAGGATCCAATCAGAAATCAGATTGGATTTGGATCACCCCTATCCGATCTGAGAAGATCTGATCCGATATATATGTTATTTATTTATTTATAAATATATTATTTATATTACATTTTTGTAAATTTATTATATTATTTATTTTTTAATAAAAACATGTATATATGATCAAAATACTAATAGTTGAAAGATACTTGTACTTTTTGTGTTTCTTTATTTAAATTGTTATATTTTATTTTTCTTTTAATAATTTCTTTATTTTTTTAAAATATCAGATCAGATCAGATCAGATCCGAAGATCTGACGGTCTCATTGGATTTGAATTCAAATCCACATTTATGAGATCCGATCGGATCTCCCCTTAACAGTGTCAGATTGGATTCGGATATACCCTGATTCGAATCCAATCCGATCCGTTTACATTCCTAGTCGGCATGAGATTTTACTATTGCACCAAGCAATAGACCCTAGCTGTATCACAAATATGCCATACATATATTGTGTGCATCAATGTTTTAAGGCTTGACCATTCATCAAACTGTACACACACACACACACCATATCATGTGTATTGCTGTGGTTATATGGTCATTTTTATAATCATCATTTAAGTAGTTCTGGTTCAAGTCTTGTAAATCATGTTTTTATAAAAAATAGATACATATTTGATTAGTATAGGCATTAAAGAAACAAAAAACAAACACAAATAGTATTGTCGTCTGATGGTAATATGCATTTCTTTATAAATAGATGCTAGTTCAATCCCCTCTTATTATTTTGTAATATATGATAAAGTAGTGACCCAAGTAGGTCATAGAATCAGCTGGGTCATTCAAACCTAGTAAGTTTTCAACAGTTCGCCCTGGTTAGTAGCAGACAGTTACTGGGGGAAAAAACAGGATTGAAAAATCCAGAATGCCCTCTGGTTCCTGAGCCTGATCGTCCAACTGTCGGGTCTGGTCCAAGTCTTACAACATGGTATAATGATCTTTCTCCTTTTATAATAATTTAATCAAATGAAATTTTGCATAGAACAGGTCTAGCTCAATCATTTCCTAGGGGCCTAGCTCCCACACAAACAACTGGGTATAGAACCTGAACTAATAAAATTATAAAGATAAAACCTTTGGGAGAAAAAATAGCTTAATCTCAGAGAGACTCAAGCTGGTTTGAGGACCCCAAAAAATGGATACATCACCGAAGCAATTAGTGTTCTCTACAACAATAAAAAACTGAAACAAAACTCTATGAATGAGTATCCAAAATGCCATTTACTTTGCTTCATAATAATTGTAAATCTTTCTTCATTCCAAACGGGGTATGAGTCACAAAATCTTTTAATTAAAGTTTAATTATATTTTTGTTAGAAACAGAATTAAAAATGAAAGATCTTCGGAAGATGGGATTGGGATTGGACTCTAATCCTCAGGAGTTTGAGTTGACTTTGGTAGAAACAGAATTAAAGAGGTAAAGCATCTTTGGAAGATGGAATTGGGATTATACAATGTTTATGCATCTTACCTTATAAACAGGTCCAAATCCTCCCTCTCCTAGCTTATTATTTGAACTGAAGTCTTCTGTAGCAGCTCTTAATTCAGCATAAGTGAAAGTGTTGGTCTTGGGACCTATTTCTAGAAACTCTGCAAATTTATACCAGAAACAAGATTACAATTTATAGCAGTGCTTTCTTGAATATTTTCTGTCATAATATTCTGATTCCATCCACTCAATTTTAGTAATATTAAGCAGAAATGAATGAAACCAATCCACAATATTTTGAATGGAGGATCACATCCCTCTTTCAGTGTTCTATTAAGCATCGAAGTAGATCACAAAGCATGAGATGTCCATCAGCAAATGGATTTTAAGTTTGCTTCAACAATTTATATGGGTAAGTCAATTTTGCTTCCACAATTTGATCTCAACCTAACAACTATGGAGACACTATAAAAACCAATATTGAAATTGACAATATTACCTTCTTCCTCATCGGTGTATAGCCTTTTCATTCTCAAGTACAAAATTGCAAAAACCAACACTAAACTTGCAATAACAACAGAAACCACAACTCCAACAATCAAGCTTGTCTTTTTCTTTCTAGATGAAGTTGTTGCTGGTGGAAGGCCACTACCAGATGTTGCAAAGTCTGAACGACCAAATTTTGATGCAACACATGAATTGATTAGAAGAGAAGCATTGGTACATTGTAGGTTTTAACAAATTAAACTTGGTTTGTTATTTGTGATATATTACCTGAAGTAACACCAATAGCTGAGATTGATGGTCCATAATAACCATCCTCAGGTATGCAGCAAGTGCCCTTTCCAGCCCAGAAAAGATGAATTTCGAGGAAATTTTCCGTTACATTAGCATTCAAATCCTTCTGAATGGCTCTATTAGAGGAGCCACCTGTTTCCTTTCTTATATCAAAATCTTTTAATTCCAGATTCCCCTGGGGTATAAACACAGAGAGATTAGAAGCTAAAAAAATCCATTCCATCAAATAAATGAACTGCAATAGACATTAATTTAGGTTACATACTCAGGATTATTCACTACTATTGTAGAAAATGCTAATTTTGAAAACTACTCTTTCAGCTTTCACCATTAGAGGAGCCACCTATTTCTCTTCTTAATTCAATATCTTTTAGTTCTGCATTTCTATGGAGATTTAGAACATAGGTTAGAGAAAGGAGTGCATTAATATGTATTCATTCATCTGGACAAATCATATGTTAGAGTTTTAAGAAAGAAAATATGGTGGATTTTGGAAAAAAAACGAACGCTAAATAGGTATGCAAATTTAATTGAGGACATTGGTGCAATAACCAATTTAGAACACCAACGAGAGAGACATTAGAGTTTCCAATTATATGGGACTACACCAAGGTCAGCACTTAGCCCTTAGTTATTTGCATAAATCATGGATCAAATGACTAAAAATATTCAAGAGGAGGTTGTATGGTACATGTTATTCACTAATGATATAGTATAAATTGATACAACTAAAGAAGAATTAAATGCAGTACTAGATTTCTGGACAAATACCTTAGAAACACGGGGTTTTAAATTAAGTAGGATATAAACAGATACATGCAATGCAAATTTTATAATAAACAGGTTCTGGTTCGCCTGATATCAGCTCAGTCTTTGATGTGCTCTGGTTTTGTCCCCTCCGGTTCTTCCTCTGTTTAAAGGAGAAACACTCGCTGGACCCAGCACTTATGGCCCGGCCCAAACTTGTCATCACAGTTGTAACAGAGGCCCTTCTCGCGTCGGGCCTGCATCTCAGCCCACGGGAGGCACTTGAAAGGCACAGTGGGCCTGGGCAAAATGGGCTTCTGAGAATCCCCAACTTGTTTCAGGGGTTGCTGTTCGGCCCGCTGGGGAGCCCTCACATTCGGGTAGGATGGCTTGCTGGTCCTGCGCATGCTATCAATCTTCTCTTCTTGTAGGTGAGCCATACCCACCGCTGCCATGACTGTCACTGGTCGAAGAGCTCTCACTTCCAGGCAGATGTCTTCTCTGAGACCTCCCACAAAACACCCTACCAAGGCCTTCTCCGGCCATCCATGTACCCTGGTCGCCATTCTTTCGAACTCGAGCTGGTAGTCTGCTATTGTTCCGGTCTGTTTTAGTCGAGTGAGGAGTTCATCGTAATCCACGAACGCCATCGATACCACTGGAGCCAGAGAATAGCGTCTCCTTCTAGGTGAATGGAGGCGATGACGACGCGCTGGTATGCAAGGGTTTCATGATACTCGAAGAATCTCTCTGCTCTGAAGATCCAAGGAATGGGATCTCCACCGGAATAGTTGGGAAAATTGATTTTAGTAACCTTTCCGGCGGGGTAACCCCCAGTTCCCTGGCTACCGGAAACAGAGGCATCGGCCCCTATTGGAT